AGTTCTTTTGCAATTGTGATTTTCCCGGCAATTATACTGCAGAATAGAGTCAAAAGAACTGGCCCTAGAAGGTTCCTAAAACCAGAAAAAACCGGTTGGAAAATTCTAGAATTTTTTCCAAAACCCGGAAACGATTTTCCAGAAAACCTACTTCGCGCTATAAATGGCCCGGCCCGGTCGATCGCTAAATTCCGCCAGAGCTGGGAATCTAACCAAGACCTTCCTGGTTAACAGCGCACTGTGGTAACCACCCCGCCACAGTAACTTGATGCCCACATTTCCATCGCTTGTTCGTCTTATCGCATTTTTCTTTCACTTTTTCTTCTTTTTTTCATTTTTCTGTTTATTTTTTCCTTCTTCCTCGTTCAATGATCTTTCTCAAATTCATCCACATTTTTCTAAAATTGATGAAATCTTTTCTAATTCAGCGAACTTTTTTCAAATTTGACTTTTGTTTTCTCAAATTCGATGAACTTTTTCCAAATCCAATGAACTTTTTTCAAGATTGACAATTTTTTCATTCAAATTTGTGATTTTTTTTCAAAATCGATGAACTATTTTCTCAAAATGGATGAACTTTTTTCAAAACTGATGAACTTTTTTCAAAACCGATGAACTCGAAAACAATGAACTTTTTAACCTTTTTCAAAAGTTTTTTCCAAAATCGGTGAACTTATCCTCAAAATCGATGAACTTTTTTTAAGTTTGTGAACTTTTATCTCAAAATTGATGAACATTTTTAAATTCATGATTTTATAGAAGTAAATGAAAAAACTAAATGATAAATAAATAGCGTGCCCATACCAGTTCATGTACAGTTTAGCGCTACTAGATCACAAGTGACAAATTGTTCTGGTGGTCATCTAAGATTGTACAATGGTTGCCTACTTGATTGTTCTGAGTTCGATCCGTAAAGAATCTACCGTTTTTGTGTTTTTTTGGCGATTTCTGGTAGCTGCCTTTCCCATCGCGGGCGGCCCAACAAGGCGCTGCAGCGGGCGCCAGGAACCTGTTCGGGCGCATAAGGCGCCGAACAGGAGCTCCCTCGACAGTTCGATGCAGTAAGCTGCGTGTAGGTTTTTCCTCGGATGCTGGACTCGCTGAATGCAAGCACGGCGCCTATTACTCGTATTAAACGAGCCCAGAGGTTACTCTCACGTCGAACACTACAGTAAAGCAAATAACTGCTTGCCACTTGGCTACGTGCTAAACTAGAAGGTCGGACCACTTAATTCAAATCGAGCAGGGCTTTCACTATTTCTTCTCCTTTTTCAATGTCTTTTTTTTGCTTATTCTCCAATTATTCTCTATTTTCACTATACATTTTTGTATATGTCAAAACCGTTTTTTATTAAGGGATCAACATTTTATGTATACACGTTCAACATTTTTTGAACACTTATTCAAAAAAATTCAAATACTTGTTCAACATTTTGATACTTACTTCAACATTTTTCAAATACTAGTTCAACATTTTTCAAATACTAGTTCAACATTTTTCAAATACTCGTCCAAATTTTTTTAATACTTATTCAACATTTTTAAATACTTTTTCAACATTTAGTACTTATTCAACATTTTTCAAATACTTGTTTAACATTTTTTAATACTTACTCAACAATTTTTAAATACTTATTCAACATTTTTAAAATACTCATTCAATAATTTTTTATACTTATTCAACTTTTTAGTATTTATTTTTAAAAATCAAATACTTTTTCAACATTTTTCAAATATTTTTCAATATTTTTAAATACTTATTCAACATTTTAAAAATAATTTTCAACATTTTCCAAATGTGTTTTTATAGAGTGTTTTTTGTGTATTTATGTAGAATATTTTGATGTATAAATAATAGTATAAAAATAAAGCAAAAAATGAGAACAGAAAAAAAACAAAGAAAACAGGCCGTGGCATCCCGCGGAACTGGGCCGGCCCATCTGGACTCCCAGAATCTTCGTCGAGTAGAAGGTTCCAAAATCTAGAGCTAATGTGCCACTCCAATATAACACCCATGAATGCGAGAGCTCTGTCCGTCTTGTAGTAAGCTAGATATAGCTCTCCTGAAGGGAAGAAATAGACACATCCATCATCACCGCAGACGCTCCAGAATAATGTGTAATCAGACTAGTAGCCCATGGACGGATCGACCTATCATACAAGACCCACTAATAGCGCATCTTATAACGTAGATGGCCTATGTATGCATGTAGTTGGCGATCCCTATTTCGCGTGGGGTCGCTGGATAGCGACTTACCGAGTGAGTGCGGATTTTTGGAGGCCGAGCTCCAGTGAGCTCGGTATTTTGAAAAAAAATCAAAAAGCGTATTTAAAAGTTCCAAAAAAAATTAAAAAAAATATCATGAAAACTTATATGTATTCCGCAAGAATGTGTTAAATTTCGTCGAAAAATGTTGTGATTTGTAGGCTGTACAAAAATAACAAATTTCTGGCCCAATAACAAAAATAAAAGGCCCATTAAAAAATGTATATTTGTCTTTTTCCTGTAGGCCACATGTAAACGTATAATACTGTGAAATTTTGCATATACATAGTATACATGTGCATGTGTGTTCAAAAAGTAAATTTGGAATTTTTTGTGTTCCAGAAAAATAAAAAATGAAAACGAGCTCACTGGAGCTCGGCCTCCGATGGCATTTTCCGCTTACCGAGTACCCTTCCGCATGCCATGTTCTCTGTTTGGACAGAGAAGATAATGGTCCATCATATTCTATGACATGAAATCCTACCACTCATGTCAAATGATATGTACTTCCCAACTTATGGTGATAAATTTATATGCACCAATGATAAAAAAAACCAAAGGGCCACTAAAGGCCCGGAAAAACAATGATCTATTAGTAGGCTGAAAGAACCATGAGCCAAAAGTCATGGACGTCAAACGGACCGAAAGCACTATGGGGCTCAAATAGGCCAAAATCACCATGGGCTGAAACACAATGGGCCAAAAAGGAGCTGAAAGCACTACAATCGTAAAATAAAATGGCTCGAAAGCACCAAGGACATGTTGTTAATGGGATGTTTGGACCTGGGTCGTAAATGAGTTGTGTGCATCCATGTCCTTAGCGAACCTTACATGGCCAAAATGACTAAGGTTTGACTAAGGCCTTGGACTGAGCCAACCTTTTTTTTTCAACTAAATGGGCCTCCATTGGGTTGGGGGTGTCATCCAGAGAATGATGCACGAAGTCTGTTGGATGTGCGACAATTGTTTGAATAAATAGCTGACACATGGTTTGCTTAGAATAATACGAATCCAACATGTAGGTGATCAATAGGATGCCACATTGTTAATAGGTATCGGATCCGGTACCCATGTCCATTAATTAGCTTAATGGCGACCCGTTATGATGACTACCACGTGTGGGTGGTGTCCCGGTAGAGCTGTTCACTCGCGACAAAAATCACTTCCATGTCACGTCATTTTCTATCATGGAAGATAATACTTCCATGACAGGAAACGACTTTTTTCATGGAAAAGATCCATGGCAACACCTGTGTGACATTCTTGATTCTATCATAAATTCATCATGGTTGTACATCAATGAGAAAAAATTGAACCCATTATAGCAAATGTGTATCATCACGAATATGCCGAAGAGCTCTTAGCACTGACGGAAGCACTGTGAGAAGCCACGAGAAAGGAAGAGCGGGATGATGGCTCAAGAGCAACCAAGGTCCATGAACAAAGGAGCAAGGGCAGCGAGAAACCGAAGGGAGCAATGCAGTCTTGTTCAACGAGAAGGAGTCCAAGCTTCATGAGTCGAGGACCTCGAAAAGTTGTTGTGGACATGCGGCATGAAAGGTAACATCATCACTATCTATATTTCATGCTTGAATCACTAAAATGAGATATCACGTGAATGGCAACAATCAGGTGGGGCCCGAGCAAGCGGTGGCAGTGTCAGGCCGCTCAAAGGCCCATCAAAGGTGTGAAGAGCGAGACTCGCTAACGTCTTCATCGCGGATACAGAAAGGGGCTTGTCGATAGGAAGTGGGTTCTAGACCAACATCATGCCACACATACCCTAGATAAGTCGCCTGAGACTAAATCTAGGTACCACATAAAGCGCATATACGGGCGGGCGACTCCCCAATACACTTACCAATTAGTCTCTTGAAAAGGAAGGCGTTTGACTATCAGACAAAGGCGAGTCCAAGTCTTTCGAGACAAAGAAACCAAAAAGAGGACAATTAAATCATCCTAGGCCCATTATAAATATGCCAAGATCCCAAGGAGGAGGGACAACTAGTTCTTCCTCGGTGAAGAGGAAAGAAAAATCGAACCTCGAAATCCAATTGCCTCACATTGAAATAGCTGCACTCCTAAATGTACTGGTTGACAAGTTCTTCCCTGATATAAATCCATATAGTAAGAAGGATTAGGGTTGGTGCTTGCATCTCAAAGCCTGAACCTGGATGAAAACTGTCCCACGTGTCCTTCCAACAGCTTTAGGTTAATTATGTCCCACTATGATAAAAATCCACGTATGTTACTGTATCATCCTCGAGTACTTTGCGAAACACCATCGACAATGATGAATAAAATTGAACTATATCTTCCGTGGACAATGGTAGATTTTGTTTTCTTGCTGTTGTATTTAGGCATGTGGTTAAACTAAATGCAAATGCATAGAACTCAAAACACGGAATATAAATATCAGACAAACTTGCTTAAATACCGGATTCGTACTCATCTCCATTACTTATAAAAGCGTGAGTTTTGTGAAACTAACAAATCATGTTCATGCATTTAAACAACCGACGAACCAGATCATCCTAGTGATGAGGTCTTGTAGGGTATAGGATGATAGTTTTTTTAATGGTACATATAACAGAGATATGTAACAAAGGATAAATAAATTTCAAAAATTATAGTACAAGGTCCGGAATCAGAATAATATCGTTTGTTTATTCGGTGTGTGATAAGAAGGCTGATAAGTGTAGATTCCTGTTGGTATAGATACACATCAGTTCATTTAGTCATCCTGGGGTCGAAGTCGAATGGGGTAGCCCTGCGGGAACATGACCTCACCGCTTCGGAATACATTTGTCCCTTTCATTTCTTCCCATCTGCGATAGAAGTTAAAAATTGCATATTGCATATCAACATACGGGGTGTCTGATCTAATGAATGCAACATGCTTTGAGCTGAGAAAAGTACACACCTATACTCGGTCACCAAAATGTGGAGGGTAAGTGTTATGAACAACTTGACAAACTCTGCGCCAGGACAAACCCTCATACCTGCTCCGAATGGCATGAAATTCTTCAGCATTGTGCTGCGCTTTGACTCATCCTTCATGTTCAGATTTGTGAAATTTATTTACATCCACAACATTAGTTCCAACAAAATATCCAAGGTAAAAAAGGTAACATAATCGAAGTAATGAAGTCTTCACTAACCATCCACCTCCATGGGTTAAACTTGAGTGGATCTTCAAACAGTTCTCCGTTCAGATGAACTGCCATAGGGTTAACTATGACCAACCATCCGGCTGGAATTGTATAGCCTACAGGAAGAACGAATCAAGATATTAAGAAACAACCACTTTCAAAGTTGTTGATATAACTGTACTGCTTTGCTAGCTAATGAAATAAAATACTATATTACAATATTTATGAGTTTTTACCGTTGACTTGTGCATCTGTAAGAGTTTTCCTAAACACTACAAGCGCGGCATTGCTTATTCGAATAATCTCATTGGTGACCTTCAATAAAAGAGAAAATCTGGTCAAATTTAGAAACTACTAGTGCCGATGAATCCAGCTGTAATCAATCTTTTTTTTATATATTTTTACCTCATTAGTGAATGTCAATGACTTGTACTCCTCCCACGTGAGCCCGGAGTTCCCACCCTTTCGACCCTTTAGCATAGCACGGTTCTCCTTCTGTGTAAAGTGCAAGTTTTCAGGATGTTAATAATTTTGCACGTTTTAAGATACTTATTTCTATTCCCTCCATTTTATTACACACACTAGTATGTCGTCGGTCTAGCATGAGTACAGCAAAAGGTACACAGTACTATAATCTTGTACTATATGCAAGCAGTTTATATAGTATATGTACTTCCTTTGTCCGGGTTAATTAATCTTCTTCACATTTTTAGCCAAGATTAATTTGACTATATATTTACTTGCAAAATATAAGTGATATGACTCAAAAATACATTACTGGATTAGTTAAAAAAAAGGTTTCTAATGGCACTATTGTTACAATATATGAGTCATACTTTACTAGTAAAATTTATGATCAAAATTTGACTAAAATATGAGAAAGATTAATAAATCAGGACGGAGGAAGTACTGCATGGCACGTAGTACAAAATAATGAGACCTTCCACAATACATCTAAGTAATATGAGCCGTCCATTTCCAGTCATATGGCCGAAGAAATCATCATGTACAAAGCTAGCCAAGCTAACCTCCTATATTGATTGATCATGTCCAAATGCGCTAGTACGTACGTGATCGACTCGATTGTTTTCCGGCGATGACGCGTGTACACAAGCCGTCGATTGCATCCGCTGCAGACAAGCAACGTAGGCACACAACACCGCTCGAATCTCGCCGGAATACGTCAACTTGACCTCGTTACCACTAGCGACCCGCATCCCCGTGATGCTGAGCCGCCGATAGGAGAAGCGGCAGATCGTCCCACAGGTATCTAAGTTTTACGGTTCTACCATCTCATGGTGTACTAGACTCGGTGAGAGGCACGACGTACGGCGTACCCCGGCAAGGAGGTACGCTAACACATGGACCGTATATATGGATATGAAACGACCGCACTGCCATCGCTGTCAACATCGATACGGTGACATGCATGGCTGGGAAGGTTCACTGTGCCGACGTCAAAGCAGCCATGGCACTCTCACGTGACGCAGTGGGAGCAGAGGCACCGGGGGACAGCGGGAGCCTCCGAGAAGATGCAGCGGCGACGGAGCCAGGGGTCCTGAACCACGACAGCTCCTTCGTCAACGCCATTGGAGCCATAGATGGTTATTGACAGGAGCCGTCGATGACTGGCGACGGCAACCACGAGGCCTGACGAGGACGGTCATGGCGAGGGATTTTACAAATCATGGCTACGATGATTCAATACTACTTGGTCCCAGAAGTAGTATAATGTACTGTAAAAAAACCAATATAAAACCAACCTCGAGGGCGTGGACAACGTCCGGATTGTCATGGAGTGACTTGAAGGCTACAGCGATGGTCCCTGATAGCGTGAAGACACTGGCGAACAACAGCGTGGAGACCATATCAGTAGCGAAATTCTCACTTATTAATGGCTCTTCACCCTGCAGTTCTTCGACAATTATGTCAAGGAGGTCGCCATGTTTCTTCCCTGGTGTAGCTAACCTCTCTGCCAACGTATCCCGCACTGTCTTCTGCACGTTTTTCCTTGCCTGCATGTGCACGCAAGTAGTGGTAGGGACGTCTGTCATCTTCTATACGATCTTATATTTCTTTCTTTATTTCGCAAAAAATATATTATTTCTTTCTTTATATTTAGTGATCTAAACAATTTTATATTATTTCTTTATAGAGGGAGTAGCTAATTAGTTTATGTACTCCTTCTCCGATTTTTTTTATGTACTCCTACTCCCTCGGGTCCTTTTTAGTTTGCATATAAGTATTGTCCAAAGTCAAAGTATTTTCACTTTGATCAAACATATAGAAAAAAGTATTAACATTCACAGTGCCAAATCAATATTGTTAGATTCGTTATGAAATGTAGTTTCATAGTATATATATTTGGTATTATAGATAATGGTATTTTTTAATACAAATTTAGTCAAAGTTTGCAATGTTTGACTTGAACAATTGTTGAAATATATTGCCCGCTTTTCACCATCAGTTTGGATTTTTGGATGAGTTGGCTAGAGCATGAATTCAATATGGTATCAGAACCAAGAGGTCTTGAGTTCAAGACACTGCCAACGCAATATTAAATAAAACGGTTCTGCGGCCTACATCGATCCCACATCTAAGGACTAAAATAGCCTAGACGTGAGGGGAAGTGTTAAAATATATTGCTTGCCTGGCGAGTAAATAGGATCGGAGGCAGTACCTGCATGCATCGGTAAAATGGTGTCCCAGGGAAATATATTGGGAAGGAGCACAACCCTGAGAAAAGCACTTCAAACTTGTTCCTCAGTTCCCTCGACCTGGTGGAATCGAAACCAAGGCATTTCCTCGTCACCAACTCAAAAAGAATCTGCAACGACAATAGCGAGCAATTTGTACACCATGATGGAGAGAGCAACTCAAATTGCATGGAAACCAAGGCAAGACACTTACGTCGGGCGCATCGCCCCGCACGTCGACGCTCGGCATGGTGGCCCACGCAGCAAGGCGCTCCCTCACGGCGGACTCCATCTCGGGGAGGAGCACCTCTTTGAGGCTCTGGAGACCGAACAGCATGAAGGCGCACCTACGGATGAACTTGTGGATTGTGCCATGGAAAGCTTCGATGCTCTCCTCGCCGAATATTTTGGTCAGTGCCCGAGGGTACCCAACACGGAACAAGGTGCCCTCCTGCTGAAGGATAAACCGGTTGACCTCGGCGTCGGTGGAAACAACCGCAGCCTGCCCCAGCAAGCTTGTCTTGAAAACCAGGCCGTACCTACACAAACACGTGCTTATTTTTCTCACAAATAGAATATATATACTCCTACTACTACTATTTGTATGTATGTTTATTTGCAATAAAAATGACAACTGTTAATAGTATACCTCTTCATCCTTCGTTTGAAGTAGTCTGGGACGTCCAAGGAAGTGCTTGCCTTGAGGAATTCCAAGGTCTCACCAATAACAGGGAGCCCCATGGAGCCAGGAGGAAGAACCCCGTTGCAAACCGGGTTGATCCACCTGTATACCCAGTGTACTAGCCATCCAATTACAAGTGTAACCGCACATAGAGCTACGTATTGAGCAACACATATGTCCATCTGCATCTCCAAGTGTACCTAGTAGTAAAGAAATGAAACGAGGGGTGTAGTTAGCTTAGCTTTGTGCTGATTGTAGATGTCTCTAGATGCTTATATAGACAAGTGCCATGAGACCTCCCGTACGTGGTGGGAGTATCATATGAGTCTCATGCATTGCATTGTCACCTAAGCAGAAATATGACGTGACACTGTAATTGATGACGTGTGAGAGAGTTCGACTATGATACGGTATCATAGCAGGTCAAACAGGAAAACTCAAAGAGATATAAGTTCTAACCACAACTTTGTTTTGAGATTCTACATATGAATTAATGAGGTGGCCATATAATATTAGTGTATGCTACTATGCATTGTGAAGGTACTCCCGACTACAAGAGGTCCGGTGACTCTTGGGTGAGATTTAACTTCTTCTTGTTTTGCGGGGAGAGATTTAACTTCTTTTTCAGCTCATACTTGAAGAAGGCAGTGGCCGATCTAGGGCTGGGGTGGTGAGGGCCATGGCCCCCACAAACAATTTGCCGAATTTATTTTACTAGTGCATTTATATGTATATTCAGTACTTTATTAACTATTAGTTTTGACTAAAAAACTACTACGTTACCCTTTGTAAATGTTGCCCCCACGTTGGTTAAATTATAGATCCGCCATGGCAAGAAGGGAATACAGTAGATTGTAAAGTTCAGTGGTTGAAGAGTATACATAGAATAGATTGTAAAGTATAATGGATGCGAAAGTACATATTTCATGTACAAGTTTAATCAAGAGTAAGGTTAGACCTGAGACATTTTTTCCATTTTTGGAAACAACGAGCTCCCTCATCGATTTCTATTAAAGAAACTGCTAGTCTTATAAAGGTTTTACAACATCAAATTAACATTGAAGATAAAAAACAGAAGCATCACATGTGACCAGCTTCGCTAGGAACAACAATCATTAACACGTTCCCTGTCCCAAAGGTATCAAACTAACATACAAGACGACAAGCGTTTCATTACAGGTTAAAGCTAGACATGCATTACATAGTCTACTTCTTATGGAAAAAGGATCCGAAGAATATATCTAAGCTGCACTATGATAATTTAGATAATTGTATGCTTATTGCAAAATTAATGCAAACAACCATAATAAAATTATAAGAAGGGTTTAATGTATGGGTTTGAGGTTAAGTTCTAGTCTGATAAAGGCAGCACTGTTGTTCTTATATCCATGGCCCTTAAAGATTTTAGTGGTGTGCCCATTTCTTCTATATCATGTGTACTTCATATATATTGTGACGTAGGACAAGACAAGACTCCATTTCACCATCGAGTATGACAAGATACACTTTTTTGGTTTGGCGCAGCCTGATCTCTACCTGTTCCGCAGCTTCTCTGAAACCACTCAACACTTATTCCAACATTGTCATCTTGTGCATCCCGTGTGGAACAACCTACAAAGCATTTGCTCAACCACCCCGGAGGATCTCAGGATATTTAGGCTATCGATCATTTGAATAAAATTCATACTTTGGTGGTCATATTAATCCTATGGAACATTTGGAAGCGCCGCAATAAAATGGTATTTCAGCAGGAGGTGGATGTGTTGCACATAGGTAGCCATGTATGCTTTTTAAATACAGGTAGGGCTCCAGATTAGATAAGTATCCTCGTTAAGAAAGGTTAGTCCTGCAGGCTTGCAGCAAGTGGCCAGCTATGCGTCAATTTCTATTGATTAGCCCATAGTGCACTGGCCGGCGAGAGATAAATACGATGAGAAAAATTGGCAATACGACAACAACGGGGAACTTGATCAATCAGCACCGCATACATGCATATATCCAGCCACCCATTTGGAGATTTTTTAGTGATCAACTTGTCAATTAAACAAGCTGTAAGATGAACGTTCACCATCTTAGCAGGATGGATTAACCATACATGCCGTCCCGCGACCTCGTATAAAAGAACACCGAGCTAAAGAATGAGCTTCTAGTTTCTCGATCGGTGCTTATAGAAGGTTTCTGCACTCTAAAACTTGAGGAGATAACGTGCGCTTTTTTTTCTATAGCAAGTTATTACCGTTAGTTGTTTTGTTTTGGTTTATCTACGTTGGCTTGGGTTTAATTATTTGTTGACGGTGTTTTTTATTCATATATCATGTTGGGCTGCTTTTAGAGACAATATTTGTTGTGAGAGGGGAGTTGAGTTGCTAGATGCGTAGTTGTAGTATCCATACGTGTTTCGCCCTCGGTGTCGATTGGTAATGGTTGCCTGAGGGCATCTCCAGCCGTGCCCCCAACAGGGCCCCACAGGCCACTTTTTCGGCGTCGGCGCCGAAAAAACGGCCCAGTCGCGCCCCCAGGACGCCGAAAATCGCCGGTTCGGACCTTTTTTCCGCCCGGCGGCCACAGGCCGAACCCGGCGCGCTGGGGAGCAGTTGGGGGCTCCGGCGCTAGGGAAAAGCACGCCTGGCCCACACCGATAGGGGAAAAAGTTAAGTTTTTCTTCCTCCGACTCGCCTCGCACCCCCGCGCCCTCGGCCACCACTAGCTATATCCCGGCGACGGCCGCCGCCCTACTCCGCTAGATAGCCATTCCCTGCCGGAAAATAGCAGCGCTTTGCCGCGGCAGCACCTCCCACAGCAGCTGGGCGTTTTCGGCCGCGGAGGCGCGGTTTAATGGCGGGTACACGCCCACCGAGCGCAAGGTGTTCGGCGTTTTGCCTGCCTCGGCAATGGACTCGGATGAGGAGGAAGAGCTCGCCGCGCTGCTGGAGAAGGAAGCCACGACCGACGTCCAGGAAGAAGAGCATCTCATGGTGCTCGCCGCCCTCGCCCAGCTGCTGGCGAGCAATGAAAAGCCGCGGCGAGGTGGCTCGGCGCCGGGGCGGATGAAAGCAAAGAACCGGCCTCGTCTCCAAGGCTACTGCATACTCTACTCCGACTACTTCGCCGATGCTCCACTTCATGTCGAGAGAACATTTCGGCACCGTTATCGGATGAGCCGAAAGCTCTTCCTCAGGATTGTGAATTCCATCCGGGAGTTCGACAACTACTTCAAGTGCAAGATGGATTGCACTGGCGCTCTTGGATTCACCTCCATCCAGAAGTGCACGACAGCGATGAGGATGCTTGCATATGGAGCTCCCAGTGATTCACTCGACGACTATGGGCGCATGGTCGAGTCCACCAGCATAGAGTGTTTCTACAAGTTCTGTCGGGCAGTGGTGGCAGTGTTTGGGCCACAATACTTGAGAACACCCAATGCGGAAGACATTGCTTGGATCCTAGCCCAGAATGCAGCAAGAGGATTTCCTAGGATGCTTGGAAGCATCGACTGCATGCATTGGAAATGGAAGAATTGCCCATTTGGTTGGCAGGGGATGTACAAAGGCGCCAAAGGCGGTTGCAGTGTGGTGCTTGAGGCGGTAGCCACACGGGACCTCTGGATTTGGCACTCCTTCTTTGGTATGCCAGAAACTCACAATGACATCAACGTGCTGCAATGCTCTCCTGTTTTTGCCAAGCTCGTTGAGGGCCATTCTCCTCCGGTGAACTTCGAGATCAATGGGCACCAATACAACAAGGGGTACTATCTAGCTGACGACATCTATCCGAGATGGTCGACATTTGTGAAGACGATCTCAAACCCTGTGGCAGGAGGCAAGAACGCCTGGTTTGTGAAGTTTCAGGAGGCTTGCAGGAAGGATGTCGAGCGGGCATTTGGTGTGCTCCAATCTCGATTTGCTGTTGTTCGGTACCCCGCTCAGACCTGGTCCAAAGATCAAATGTGGGAGATTATGACTTGCTGTGTCATCTTGCACAACATGATCATCGAGAGCGAGCAAGAAGACCCAGTGTTTGACACTGAACCATACTACAGGCAGGGTCCTCTAGCCGAAGTTGATCACCAGCTACCGGCAACTTGGACTGCCTATCTCAGTATGCGTCAGGAGATCCGAGAGCCACAGGTGCATCATCAACTGCAGAAAGATCTGACTGAGCACCTATGGAGGCTCAAGGGGGACGCCGTGTGATGAAATACGAGTTTTTATTTGTTGAACTATATAATTTGTATTGAACTATTTGTTGTTGTACTATTTTGTTGAAGTATTTGATTTTTCTGTGATGAAATATGTGATAAGAAATAATTATGTTGATAATTGAACGCCGAGACACGGCGAAACCACGCCGAATATGGGCCTATTCTCGCCCATATGGGCCCTTTATTCGCCGAAATTGGGCTGCAAAGTGGGCCAATTTCGGCGCCTGGGGACGACGACTGGGTGCAAAACCGCCCCCAGCGCCGATTGTATCGCCGGCTCGTCTCCAGGGTGATTTTTATCCGTCCTGGGGGCCAACGGCTGGAGATGCCCTGAGCCCTTAGGAGCGCTTATTCATGCTATAACGCTCACATGCGTGGGGCCATGGAACTCCCGTTCGCTCAACTTCACTCTTTCCTCCGCGGCTTGCTTAGCTTTTTTTCGCTCGCTCCACTGCTAGCTCAGAAAAACCGACTTAAGCTCACTAAATCGAAAAGAAGTTCACATATTTTAAAATAATCTTGAATTATAAAAATACTATGAATTGAAAAACATGAATTAATTCAGAGTGTTTTCATGTGGGACCCCGCCGTCAGTCTGACGTGGCAGACGCGCTCGGGCGCCCCCATATCCGTCTTACATTTGGGATAGATATGACGGGTGCCTGTCAGCCCGGGCGTTTGAGGCCCGTTTGAGGCGCCCGTCCTAAAGACCTCGTGGTGGCACAAGGAACTACCGAGTGAAAGCTCTGCGCTTCGGTGCCGATGGCGGCGCCACTCGTGGGCATCGCTTTATTTTTGAAGATGTTGTCGAGGTGCTCCTATTCGTGTCAGGGTTCCAGGTGAAGACCCTTATCTGTT